CCACAGGTGCAAGATTCTGAATATTATATTTTTTAGATGTTAAAGAAAAAAAAAAGATCTCAGTATGAACAAAAATAAAGAATCAACAGAGAAGTAAAGTTGAGTCTTAGCTTTCATTTAAAAAAGAAAGTGTAATATGCCACATCTGAGATGCAAAGTACTAAAACAAAAAAGATTTGGGTAAAATTCTTCCTTTAATTCTCAGGCACTTTTCTCTGAAAAGGGTAAAGACAGAAACAGGAACATCTCAGAATGAAAGACCTTTCCTTCCTGGAACTCTAATGATCCTATATAATAAAAGGCTAATGTGCAAATAGTCATGATGCCCTCACGCTGTAATGACCAATCAGCAGGAGGCTGCGTGCGCAGCAGGTGTGGGTGGGTAGGGCTGCATGCACGGCGAGGCTGGGGGATGTGAGGCTGTTATTGTTTATTTATCAATAAATTTATATATTATTTTCATATACATTTTACTAATTTTCTTTCATCTCTGACACTTCTATTATAGAGAAAGGACAAATAGCAATATTAAAATATTTCCTCTAATGAATTCCCTTTTAATGTGCACAAATTTCGTGCACCAGGCCACTAGTAATACTATATTGAGGAGCCCCTAAAAATGATGCAGAAGGCTTAGCACTTTCATCTTGTACCAAAACTCAAATAAATTATATCTACTAGATATGTACCTACGTATAGTTAGAAAAATAACAATATTTAGAAGTATGGCAGCATGGCATGGCAGTACAGAGCACAAGTTCTAGATTTAGACTACATTATTACTTTGTTGCCTTTTGGCTAAGTTAAAGTGTAGATTTAGACTACAAGTTTGAATTCTGGCTCTAAGAGCTAGTGAGTAGGTCTATAATCTCTAGCAGATTCCTTAACCTTTCTGGACTTCAGTTTCCTCAATGGTAAAACAGAGGCAATAATTAACATTACCGCTTGTTTTAAAGATTAAGTGAAATAAACAATTAAAGTACTTAGAGCAAAGGCCAGTATCTAGTAAGTGCTTAACAAATATTAGCCATTATATTTTATATAAATTTTCTCATTGAATTCTTATGACACTTCTGTGAGGTAGGTATTATTACTCTCATCCCATGGTGAAGGTGAGTTAAATAATTTGCCTCAAGTCCTACAGAGGTAAAGAAGGATTTGACAATGGATCTGTCTAGTTTCAAGCCTATGCGCTTACTTCTACCTAATACCACACATGTTCCCCATAGGTCTTGCTCTTATGTCATCATAACATTTATCAAGATGTATTTAAATAGGCTTTCAACTGATCTTTCACCCTAAGAGTAAACTATATTGGGTCCTGTTTATCCATTTCTGTCCATTAGTCCCCTCCAGCCCACTCATCCAGATTTGAGAGCTTCTGGGCGAGGCATTGTTAGGTGCTGAAATATCATGATGGGTAGACAGACAGGGTCCCAGTCCTCATGGAACTCAAAGTCTACTAAAAAAGACAGATAATCAGGTAAAAATATAATTACAAACTGGTATTGTAATAAAGGAAAAGAGCAGGCTGTTAGAAAAGAGCATAAGAGATGGAACTCATTTAGTTAAGGGAAATTAAGTAAGATCTCTGTGAAGACGGGACACAAGCTGTGATGAGAAGGCTGAGTAGGAGTAGGCAAGGCAAAGAAATGGGGATTTTTTAAAAAAAATCATCATTGGAGAACATGCTTACAGAAAGGAAGGGGGAGAGAGAGTGTGAGAAACACTGATGTGAGAAACATTGATCACATGTGCCCTGAACGGAGACGATCCCAAAACCCAGGTCCATGCCCTGACAATGCTCCAACCGAGCCACTCCAGTTGGGCAAAGAAATGGGGATTTAAACCACTTGTGCACAGGACCTAAGAAGAGACCTCACTGGAAGGGTGTGAGGAAGGGAAAGCCAGTATGGCTGGAAAGGAGCCAGCATGGCTGCAAATGGTGACTGCAGGGCAGAGTGGTGAGATGAGAAGGGAGAGGTGAGCTACCAGAGCACATAGGAGTATCAAGGGTTTGGGAGTTTATTTGCAGTACAATGGGAATTACAGTTGCTTTTGTGATTACAGAAGGATCACTCTAGCTGCAGTGTGGAGACTAGATTGGAAAAGGACAAGAGAAGAATCTGGGAAACTCACTGGGATCCTCGAACAGTAGATCAAGGGAAATGTGACGGTGGTTAAGGACCAGGAGGGTGGCAGTAAAGGGGGGGGGTGCGTGGAATATATAGATTCAAAGTAGATTGGCTCCCCCATGTCTAACACACTGCCCGACAATAACAGGAACTCAATCATTTGATGCCTGACTGATTCCTCAAGCAGAGCTGTTGCTGGTTCTGAGGCATCTGCTAACCCACAGATGCATGACCTCACCCTGAGCAGTTTAGTCATCCAGTGCACATGAGACCCACAGGAAGATGTTGGAGAAATTATTATTAAGTTAATAAGCCAGCTGGCAAAACTCCACTTATGAAAACCTCTTGATGTGTGAATGTTTCTTTGTAAAACAAAATGCCTCTCCCACTCTGACAATGGAAAATTTTAGAAGCCAGCTATCTTTTGCTGTGTGACTTTTTAAGCTGTGGGAGAAATGTATTATTTAAAATAGCCTGGGGGTATGCTGCCAGAAATATAGTGAAACACTAAAGGTGCTGAAAATAAGTCCTTTCATTTAAGAGGGAAAAAAGCTATAGTTAGACAAACTATACTCATTCTACTTCCTTACTTGTAAAAACATGGTCTCTGTCATTACTTCCTAAAACAGCAAAATATTTTTATTACCTATTAGTAACAAATGCAAATGCAAAGTTAATATATTTTCTTATAATCTGATAAATTCACAATGTCAGAACAGAGAGTGTCTTCCCTATGTTATTTAATAATTTTGACCTTGTATCAGGTCAAAAGATATTTCTCTTGCTAAAACTGTAAAACTAAAACCATTTGGAAAATCAAAACGTTCATGTGGATATGAGAACAAGAGAATCTATGATTATAGTCAACTGCATTCAAAATTTAATCCTTAATCCCAACACCTCTGAAAATGTTTCCCATCCTTACACAGGCCAACAGCATTAATAACAGGGTAACAAAGGAGTAGTCAGGCTTACTTACAGCTGCTCTCTTGCTAGGACTAAGATAAACCTAAGATAGTTATCAATTTCTTAGAAATTAAAGCTTTATTATTGTTAAATTACTTAAAACAATATATTACTTAGGCTAGAGTGGTAAATTCAAGTACTTGGGGACACAAATAAAGCTTAATTTGTTATTTAAAAAAAGAGTGCCCATCAGCAAAAAGTTCAATCAAGTGTCTTGCATACCTTTTATCAAAAGGCCACCTACCCACCAGTGCCCACACCACTGCTTATGAAGAATCTCAAAGTATAAGTGGTAGAGATCAGGATAAGAGGGGCTGAATGGGATTGCCATGCAAGGAACTTAAAAATAGTCAGCGTGGGGCGTGGCTCAGTGGTTAAGCATTGACCTATGAACCAGGAGGTCT